AGATGCAGTAATTGAACATCTTAACATGTATATATTTGACCCCACAGACCTTTGTAGCTCTGACATTTATGACAATTTATAGGTGCAAATGAGCAATCTTCAGTTGCTTGAGAATGCTGAAATAGTTTCCCTTTCAACTATTTTTAACTGTTATCCTTGGTTTTCTGCATTCTGGAGTCTGTAAAGAGCATTTGGAATTGGGATGCTTGACTATGTATATATGAGATGAAAATGGAAATATATATGTACCTGTAATAAATAGAAGTGAAATCTAGACAGTGCTGGATATGTCAGATGTTTTATTAAAGTGCTCAGATTAACACGCACCATGCTTTTATATTCAGTGTATTCTGAAAAAAGCTTAACTTACACTATACAAAATAATGATTTCATGAATAAAAATTATTTAAAGCTTGTATTCGAGAATCTTACTTCACTTGTCAAAGGTTAGAAAACTCATCATTCATATCCCGTCAAATCGATTTACCTGTATATATGTATGCAGTATTTACTTACCATTTGAACACATGGAAAATACTGATTATTAGAAAGTATGTTGGCTATATTTATTATGTATATATTACTGTATGATAATAAGTTAGTTGAATGTTGTTTTTTTATTTGGAGGAGTCATTGATTTTATCACAATAGTTATTTTATGTTATCACCTGAAGTGGTGATATATTTTTATAGTCTCCAACTTTTTTCTGGATGGTGATCAGTGATTTGTGTTGTTGTACGAAGCATCTGTAACAAATGGCAGGTTGTGAAATTTCCCATGTTGATGCCTTATTTCATTTTTGTTCATGTTTCATTTGTACTTTGATGTTTTTGCATCTGTGATAGAGGTAACTAACATGTTTATGTGATCTAACAAAGTATGAGGAGGAGGGGTGTTAATCAGCCCCAAAAATTGATCTACAATATGCCAGGTTTAAAAACCAAGATGTGAAAAGATCAGCTAAGAATAATGTAAACAACATAAAGTGAACACACACTTGACTAGTTAAATCCTCAAAATAAGAATTTTACGTAATCTTCTTATAGTAGAATATATAGTTCAGAATCAAAATATTTGAATTAAATGTTGAAATGACATTTGCCCAATTTTGGTTTTCATCTTATTTTGTGACAATGCAGAACTGCCTTAAAGTCTGTATCTTGTGACATTCTTTGTAAAAAATATCAGAGATAAATGATGAGTCGAACAATCAAGAGCAGATTGATATTAAAACCATGAGTAAACAACATTGAGTTATGGAGAGAGGGGTAATGGCTTTACCTATGTTCATATTCACTCTAATTCTGCCAAGTCTTCTCCTTGGATTTGGATTAGTGTCTGGTTTTCTAGCTTTTTTGTAATTTTGAGCATTTACTATATGTCTATTTACTTTAGTTTTGCTAGTTCTTAGGTTTCCTACTTTACTTTGCATTTCAAAACATTTCTATCATGTTATTTTCTTTATAAGTTAAAAAAATCAATATGACATGAACATCTAGTCGAGGTACTACTATTAATCTAGTCTGTTTTTTCTCGTTCAGTTAACATATTAATGACTCTCTGAAACTTATTAACTCTCTTTTCTTTTGAGACTTCTTTCTCTTTGTGACCTCCCAACTCTCTGATATATGACCTATGGACTCTTTCTCTTTGTAACCTCTCTCCCAAAGAGTCAGGTTTTGTGTGGCCTGATCTTTCTCTGTGACCTCTCGACTCTTTCTCTTTAGTGACCTTTTGAGTCTTCCTCTTATCTGGCCTCTCATTTTGGTGATCGCTCAACTCTTTCTCTTTTGTGACCTTTCGACTCTTTCTTTTTTGTGATCTCTTGACTCCTTCTCTTTTGTGACTTCTTGACTGTGTTTTGTTACTTCTTGACTGTATTTTGTGACTTCTTGACTGTATTTTGTGACTTCTTGACTGTATTTTGTGACTTCTTGGCTGTATTTTGTGACTTCTGCAACTCTGTTGTAATATTTCTGGTTAAGAGTTGAGAAGCACCTTGAAAACCAGATGGATTGTATAAAAGAAAACAAACTCTGAATGTCAGAATATTTTGAAAACCATTTGCAATTACATATACGCATATGTTAAGGTGTATTGTTTGCTGCTGTTTGTGTTTTGAACATTTGAATTTGCTGTTGAATCTATTAGATATTAACATGAACAAACAATATACTTTTCCCATTCCCTGGTGGCTAGAGTTATTGCTTTAATTAGCAGATTTTTGTTGAGAACTGGAGGGAATTTCCCCCGACAAATAATAATAATTTGTATAAAAGTAGGAAATACAAATCTGAGTATAGTAGAACTTGTAACAGAGTGGTAAATTCACCACTCACTGTGTCAACATTGCCCAATGGAGAAAACAGATTATAGATAATCTATGAATAAACTAGATCATCTAATGGATATCTATTGATAGAAAAAGACGATTGCTCATTGAATTGAAATACCAATAGACAAGACTCTTACAATTATGTTTTATCATGAACAGATAGCTGTAGATTCCATATGCGCCGAGAGTATGTCTGTTTGAGAATGATGAATGTTTTGTTTAATGCAGCATTCTAATTTTATAGTGAATAACCAGGGCAAGCTGACTTATATAATTTCTCGCCATACTAATGTGATGTATTTTAAGTAGCATGGATGTTCTGGAGAAGTAATTCATTATCTACATTGAATGTGGAGCCGGCATATTGGATCTTAGTTTTGAAGGACAGTTTTACACATTTATACTTCTACCGTAATTGCCGTATTGGGGGCCCACCCCTAATAAGCGCCCACCCCGCTTCACAGAGCTCAAAAAATATCGATGAATGACCAAGTGTTAACAAATATATCAGGAAAAGTCAAATTTCCAAAGAAATATAGTGGGCGATAATAGAGTACTTAACTAAAATGCAGAAACGTGACGTATTTTGTAATTCCATGCATCCTCTTGATAAATATCTATCAGTCAGTTAATATGGCTGCTTCCCACACCATACTAAACAAATATTATCTCAAAATAGTCCATAATGAATGAAGGAAATGTTCACGTTTCAGAGTTTTGTTTCAACATTTTTTCTAAGTAGTGATCGTCAAGGTCGTGAACTTTCTCGTTTCTTTTTAAAAGATACCTCGATTTTTACACAACTTTCACACAAAAAATGATGATCTGTCATCAAATTAAAAAAATAAGCCATAACTTTAGATTGATTTCTTACAGTCTATAGGAGAAATATTGAAGATAATCGCGGAAAACAATTCCTTCACCTCGAGGGGCTCTGCTGGGGAGTTCTTCAATCACTGTCAATATACATACAGGGGGGCGGGTTCCCAAACATGACCTGTCATATTGGCACGTTCAATAACAAATTTTATAAACAGGCCTCATTTGCCATTGAAATGAATCTCCCAATGTTCGCTGTTGTTTTATGAGTATTCTCTACAAGTTTGGATCGAGTAACTTCAATAGTATTACCGTAGTTTTGAAATGATGATGTTGAACTGATGTTAGCGCCATTTCAAATTTTACTTTGCACATGTGCGGCACTGAGAGAGCACCTGCTCATGATTGTTCACATGATCACATCCTCCAATTTGATTCGACATCATATAATGGGGAATCACCGAATACGATAGAATATGAAAGAATTATGGGATCTACTCACTACTACTGGTCAATATAGTTATATTATTTTAGCGTATTCTTTCCAATAACGATACATGTCATCATTGTAAAAATATGCTGTTACTTTCATTTTGATGTTGTAAATACCGTATTTGCCGTAATTGGCGCCCATGTTCCTATTAGCGCCCCCCCCCAGACTTTTGGAGGCCCGAGGGTGAGTCCCTGGTTGAAGAATCAACGATCATTGTGGTCAAACGTAAGAAATCAAGTGGCCGATAATAGGTTCCCGACATGTAATTCCAAAACGAGGCTGAGAAAAAAATTTGAATTCGATTCAGCAGGTATAAGTCCATTTTCCTATAGATTTATCGAGTAAAATACCGATGTAAGTACATATTTTATATTCTATTAGTGTAGCAAAAAGAGTGGGATAGGTATGAACCCCACGGTCCATGCAAACGTGGCGAATTTCACGAACCAAAATTTTCTTCCAATTTTTTTCTAAACTGAAAGTGAAACTCTGGCATCTTTTCTCAGGCGGGACTCATATGGGCGCTAATAAGGACAACTTTTTGAACTGTTTTGACTTACTTTAAGCGCCCGGGCGCCTACTACGGCAAATACGGTAAGTCATTTTTGGCAAGAAAATGGGAATTTCAATTTCAAAAGTGTTCTGGGCGCTTTTTTGGGCGAATATGTTATATGGAATACCTAAATGAATATATGGAAACATACTTTGTTATACTCAAATATACTCTTTGACATTACTAATCAACTCTTGAAATGTTAATATATACATGTATACCAGAATTCTGTTATAAAATAAAAATTTCATATATGCTTTAGTTAACATTAATTTAGAGTCAGAAAATGTATATGCCATGATAATTTTGGCCTTCCTTGTCTTTTTAAGCATACTGTTCTACTATAATACATGTTATTAACGAGAAAATACATTTATTAACATTCTAACAATAACTGTTCATTTAATACGCTTAGATAATGAATTAATTAATTGCCAGTAAAATCATATGAGATGATGATAAATGCAAAAGATCATAAGTTAATGATTAGAAGTCCCTCTAGTAATAAGTGAGTCTACCTTGCTAAATGCTACCAATCAGTTTCTTGTTCATTTTAGCATTTTCCTTAATTGTCTATGGTTGTACAATATTCTTTATGCAAACACATGTTAGAGAATATGTACAGTTATTTAAACCCGGTTACTGGCTGTAAGTGTATTCTCAAATAAGCTTCTTTCTCCTGGTAAAATGAGCTTTTGAGACTTTATTCATGGGCTAAAAGGAATACATGAGAGATATGGGTCTATACTTGATGTAAGGTTATTACATAGTTATACAAAGTCGACTCTCTGAAAGCTATGTTGGCCTAGATCTAAGGTCATTGGTTATAAATAGCGCAGCTGGCTCTATACCATATTTACATACGGTGCAAACGAATAAGTAACTACTAGCATAGCACTGTTAAAGTTATTCGGGACAAGGAGTAGCAGTATCATTTTAGTTTTTTGGCACACTAATTCAACACGGCAACAGACACAGAAACGTAGACATTTCAGCGTATAAAACCATCATTAAGGAGCTATAACTGGATAGTTTGGATAATAAGGCAAAATCAAGGACAGGAGATATTTCTTTATAACTGGAAGTATATCTGATACCATGCAATGATGGACATCAAATTGTAAGTAGTCATTAGTGTTATTTATCACATCTAATTCAATTGATTATGATAACTACTTATTAGATTAGAACTTGATTTTCATAACACGCTAGTTGTTTACAGTTCTGTAACCGTATATGAACAAATTCTAGAGGAGCCAAATGTTGATTTAATAAACAGATGATGAAGGAATGTGTGAAGAAGTAGCAGATGCAACAGGCTTGTTATTATTTTTTTTATCTTTCTCTCCCTTGTCATAGTCTTTCTTTACTCTCAATGTTCAATTCTGTGTTATCGAAGAGAATGGATGGGGGGAGAGTTTTAGAACTTGACTTTTTGATGAACTCTGTTTGAATGAGAGCTTATTTTTAGAGTAAGAGAGAGGCTTGTCTTCTATGACCTTGAGTAAGTTTTTTTGTTAGATTATAGTTAAGCTATACAGATCAATAATCCGTAGTAATCTGTTATCAGTTTCACATTAACATTTACGGTCAATTTTAGTTCAAGTTTGCATCAACATATTGATTGCTCATATTAGTATTACCTAAATATTGTATACATTAATAACAATCATTGTGGGATACTATTGTAGTGATCCTGTTAAAGCAATCTATAATTCATAACATAAGGAACGTTTTATCGGATCTGAACCTCTGCCAGAATGTCTCCCTAAAAGCTTTTATATATGGTGAAGTTCTGCAAACATTGTAGTCAATGGAACAATAAGTTAACAAGAGACTGGGAATATGTGTAACTATTTGAAGATGTTTGTGTAAGATTACAGCACTGGTTTTTCAAATCATTCAATATCAGTTGGTCTTGCCAAATATTGTGTGTAGGCTTAACAGTTAATCTGTGTGATGAGAATTTTCAAAATTGTATGTGGAGATTTATGTATATTATGTTTGAAAACATAGTTCAAAATCAAAATATTTTGCTTGAATTCTGTTTAAGTGATATTTTCCCAATTTAAGGTAGTTATTAAAAGGTGGATTGGATTTAGTGGATTGGATTCATGTAAAAGGTGGATTGGATCGGGAATCTTCAAAATATGGATTTTCTGTTGATCTCCCTCTAAGCAATTTCCCCCTACAGTATTACAGGTCCCTTTGAGAAATCAGAACAAAGCAATGACAAATGCATACTCCAATTATTTCGTGGATACTCTTAAGTATTTAACTGCTTTCCCTTGTAAAACAACTTTTGTAAGATATCATAAGCATAAATCTGTAGATAAAAGCTGTCATTCAAATTTATGTGTGAATGTTCCCAAAATATTTCTGCTATGTTCAGTTTGGATTGAAAACAGATGATATGGATCTTCAAACCAGTCTGCCTTATGATTTATGAAAAGTCTAAAATTACCCTTGGAATGAAAATAAGATTGTGTATCAGAAAGCAGGAACTAGGTCAGCCTTCTAGCCCACCTATGCAAAATAATATTACATCTATATTTTGACATTGTGGAAGTGAGAGCAACAATCTTCTTAGAGGGAGATCAATAGAACTTTTTAAGGAAAATCCATATTTTGAAGATTCCCAATCTAATCCGCCTTTTACATGAATCCAATCCACTAGATCTAATCCACCTTTTAATCTTTACCAAATTTAATGTAGTGTAGAACTACCTTAACAGTTGGTATATCATTTATGATCTACTTCAAAATAGTGTTCTATGTGAACCTTGGAGGTGTTCTATTTACAGTGGTGTTTTACTTTACAAGTTTTACTATATTCAGTGATTTAAAAGTTTAACTTAAGCATAACTGTAGAGATACTAACAGCTGCTAACATAATTAATGAGTATACAAATTGTCTAAAAATACATATTTTACAAGGCTATGTGTTTAGTTTATGTCTCTAGAACGGTTATTGTGTGAGGCATAACAGCTCTTGCTCCAAGGCTATGCTGTTATATATACATGTACAGGTAGACATTCTTATGTCAGAATACTTAACATTGCTGAAAATTCATTAAAAATATCATGTTTAGTCTTTGCTTTAGTTACCAAGAGTGTTTCAAGATTTAACCTTCATGGTAAGAGATAAGTTAGGCTCTCTGGAAAATCTCACTCTCTCATGCGTATTTCACTGAAATTCCCAAAAATAAACAATTTTTTCAACTTACTTCGGTAACAGATGAAGATATGTTTCCCATTATGAACTATATGTGAAGTCACTTGCTTTATTTATGTAATTTCCCATGTATTTTATGATTAAAATCAGAGTTACTCCCGAGAAAAATATCACCATAGTTTTACTTTAAAATGAAGAAAATCAAGTTGAAAATCATGAATTTGGCAAGGAATAAAGAGAAATGAAGCCACATCATGTAGAAATGTCAAACATGTAACACTAGGATCAAATTTTAGGGAGAATGGAGAAAAAATGACATGGTAATCTTAAGTATGGGGTTACCCCTCTGCCAGGAAAGAATCACAGTAAAAGCTTACGTAGATAACTACATGAAGCATATGTCAGGATAACAGATTATTTAGGCCATAGTTAATTGAATCCCTATCAGGTGACAGATAAAAATTGATTCTGGTGTTTTTAGATTTAACTTTGGTAGGTATTTGGAACATAACCTATAGGAAGCCTCATAGAGTGACAGGTTGAGCATTGATTTTGTGCGTATACATTTATGTTTGGATACTGGTAGATAAACTTGGGAGGGTGACCTGGTTATTGGGAAGCTGTAACATGTAGCAAGTTTAGGAGAGGGGTAATATGTTTATGTCATTTTAGGTAGTTTATATAATGACTCTCAGAGCATCTATGGCCTGCAAAGAATTTCTGCTAGAAAGGAACTAATCGAAGGCTGTGGTCTGCCAGAATGTGTAGATTGCAGTTGCAAGGAAAGCTATTGGGGGGCTATTTTCCAGGATTTATTAACAATTTGTATGAAGTACCTCATCCCAGTGACGTAGCCAGGAAAAAAGTGATGAGGCGAAAAATATTTCCAAGCCTTGCCTCGCTTGCAATAGAAGAACACGATGAAAACCCTTGCATAATGAGATAGTTCACAACTAAATCAATAATTGATGATTTTAGATTAAAAATCAATAAAAATTATATAACTAATTTATTTACAACTTGTCGCCATAGGAATATTTTTCAAAGGATGTTAAAAAAGCGACGAGACAAGCACCTCATACAATTGGTTATTTTAGCCTTAATGCCTATTTACTTTATTTCTTGCTTATTCCATGATTTTCTAAACAATACCACCTTGACATCTTTCTCGTGTATTGAAACTGGTTCAGGAATGCAAGTTTAACTAAAAAGAACAGAGCCCCAGTTAAAGACCTGTGGTGTTCTCTAGGTTCTTATTCAAATAATACAAAAGCAAAACCAATAATAGAAATGAAGTTGCTCGTTTTTTATAGATCCGATTTGCATATACAGAGAAATCAATGGCTGCGCTAAGATGTAGATCAAAGTCTAATCCACACAGGTTTCTGATGCATTATTTACAATTTCCAACTGATACCATCAACAAATATATGTTTTTGTAATCAATTTCTTTTTATGAGTGATCTGGTGTATTATTTAACCATCTGCACCATGCTGATTCCTTTATATACAGTAAAACCTGTCTAAGTATCACCTCTGAAACAAGATCCACTTGGGAGGCGTTCCACTTCTAGAGGTGTTTCACTTTACAGGTTTCACTACATCTTTGTAGCATACTGATTTAGATAGTTTGTACATATGACCATTGAAATTTTGACATGTTTAAAACATTCAGGGTAGATTCAACTTCATTAACTACCATTTTCAATAGTTTGTTTCTGCATGTTTAAAAGAGAGCTTCATCTGCCAGCTTCTATACTATGCTCTGCTATGGTGGTCAGCTGCGCTGTTAGTTCAGACTTCTTCGTGAGCAGTGATTCATTGAAATCTGGTATCTTATGGTAAAGTTTATATTACTCCATTACTCATTAAACACAGTTAGCAATCCTTAGATTCAAGAGTGATCAACTCTTGCATATAAATAGTCCTACATACAACCCTGAAAAAGTGCTTTGGTGTGAGCTTATTTATAAGGTAGCTCAGTTTGAAAAAAATCTAAATTTTTTTTATCTTGTTCTGGCTGCTTGTATGCAGAACTTTCCATAACAGTTATTGATAATTGGGTCACATCTGCAGGCAATCCCTTTGTTATTGTCTGCTATGGTCTAAGAGCAAAACAGAAAAGTTAATTTGTACCAAGTCGGTGGTATTTATTTCAGTCAATTGATACCCTGCGTGCAGTCTTAAGTTATTAACTACCCTCTGCCTAGCATAGACTATATTACAGTTTAGCAGCCCCGCCCCCACGGCCTATGGCCGTGACAACCCACATCCTAGATCTTTTCAAACCTATCACGCTGATTTTTCAGCCGATCAGCAGGCTGAAAGGAACAATTGTAAACTGAAAGAATGAAGACGAAACTCTCTTTTAGAAGCGAAATCAAGGATTCAGTCAAGGGATCTTTTGTTTTGGAGTGCAAAGAGGAAAGAGTCAATATAAGCCCTTAATTAAAGATTGCATCATTTGTTTAGCACAGTCTATCAGGCCATCGCAAATCCTGCTAGGACGAACCCCTTTTTCTTGTCTCCTTAGGTTTTTAGGGCTTTTATTGGCATATCAGTCTGCCAGTGAAAACTAAAAAATCTTCAAGTACATGTGTCAGCGCTATCTATTCAAGTACAAGGCAACATTGAACATATGACGATGTATTGAACATCTATTCAAGAAAATCCAGTAAATTTTTACAGCTGGTAGCTTTATATGTAAAAAAATGAGCAAGACAAAAGTTGATTGAAAAGAATTGATTGATTTATATTTATTTGTAAAAATGAAATTGATTATCAATGAAAATCCAAAATCTTGACATATATAGTTACAATATGCAGTATTCATGGCCATCATTTAAGAGAGGAACATAAAAAGTGGATTTGTTTATTTTATTTTATATCAGATAATATAATTAAATAGGCATAAAATCAGGCCATTGGACCTAGAAAACAGGCTGACCTTAGGTTGAAATAAAATCTTGATTATAGGTATAAAAGTGGAGTAAAAGCTGGTAATTTTCCTGTAGTAATGTAAGAGCTCTCAAACTCCTAGAAACTGCCAATTAGGATAATCTCATCTGGACTCGCAATTTGATGACATTAATTCAATAATCCATGTACAGGGTGGTCAAAAGAATGGCAACTCTGTCCTTATTTTCACCATATCTTTGTGAGTAAGCACACCCTGATATCTACCACAAATGTACATCATTCAATTTCCTACCAGCCTAACATATTTCATGCTCCATGTTGTTCAAAGTGCTGTAACATTGCGACTATCGGTCCGATGGTCATGAAATATGACTTGATGGTAGGAAATTGAATGATGTACTGATGTGCCAAATAACAGGGTGTAATTTCTTAAATGACAACTATATGAGGAAAATACAGGGTTGGTTTATATCGCAACCCAAAAAGGTGTGTATTAAAGATTAACTTTCCTGTTATCTCAAAATCTGCTTGGAACTATACCATTGGATTTCTATAGGAAATTCCTCAAAGAGAAAATTCTAGGGATTAAGGAATGTGTACAGTTTACACAATTTGAGAAATTATTGACATGCATGAAACCTATTTAACCTTTACCATGCTGCCTTATTTCAGCAAATATATCCCACGCATCTGGCTTCTTTTTCAAAGAGTGCAAAAAATGATATGCCTGGACTAAATAATTAATATCTCAATAACTACTGAATGAATCTGGATAAAATTTTCACAAAGGGAAGATACAGTGGCCTGGCTCATGAAAAAAATGTTCTTATGAATATTTTTCGTACAATAACATGACTGGGCATAAATATACCATGAATACTCCTCCGAAATCCGCCGCTCTGCCCCTTCGTCTGGTCAGAATTCAAATCTGAATTTGCAGCGATCGAATGTTCAATTTTTCAATTCAGAAAATATTCTAGTTTCTATTTTCGATGACCATTATCGGCTTCCAAGAGCCTAAAGAGCTCGAAATCGTAGTCCATTTCCTCCACATATTCGTTGTGATTGTATTTGTCCACCATTTTGTACGATTTGTTCACTTAAAACGACTAAAACACTGTTTAAATTGTTGAATTGAGAATTATTTTTCGAAATATCGCCATTTTTAGGTCAACAGGAAGTCATGTTAGGCACTGAATAAATCGGGCAATCTAATTGGACAATACGAATGGCGCGAAAAAGTAAAGTTTTTAAAAGTTTGAAATTGGGCGTACGGGTCCGCAAGCAGTTGTGAGAGACATTTTAGTCTCGGCGGACGAGTCCGCCGGCAGCACGCTAAAGGTTAAAACAGCCTTTATATTATTCGAAAGCGTTGATTATCAATGATTTCCAGTTCTCTGAAGTTTGAAAAATGAAAATACCTGGGTGTTAATCCATAGATAATCCTTGAAAATGAGAAATGTTTTGGGGGATTTTGTGGTGTAATTTTATAGTCAATAAAATGTTTTAAAGTATATTGATATTTTTGGGATGAAAAACATAAGAGAAATGCATGAAAAACATAAGAGAAATGCATGAAAAACTCCCCCCATTCATTCGACAAACAACTCCCCCTCCTTTTATGAATTTTAACCAGGATCTAATATCATTTTATTTTATATATTGACAGTGGTTAAACGGTTACTGTGGTTAAACGGTTAATGTGACATTATTGCTGATGTAATATTTATGAGCATCCTACATTGAAAGAATAATTCAGGAGTAGGCATACTCCATGTATATGTAGTGACCCCCCTACATCAGAGCAAGTGGGTATTGTACCCTGTTAAAGATCTGAAAATAACACGCCACCCTATTGGAAATCAGGTTTTACACTCAGAAGGGTGAAATAGTGCAATATTTTGACCAAAAAAGGTGAAATTATGAATAATCTTGGGATAATATCATCAGGAAATTACTCACATGGTAAGATGTTAAATGCAATGCATAATTATATAGGTAATGAACTGTGTGAAATACAAAAAATGAGAAAGTCCACAAGATGTTCTCTGTACTTCAAAACATAATGTCTGAATATATTAATGAAAATGAGTTTGAGATGACATTGGTTATCATGATGACTTGTGGAAATAAAACAGTTTATTATATTCAGATCACTAGAGTATTGAAAATTAAATTCACGAACTGAATGGAGAACTGAATACAAATAGATGTTCAATTTCAAAAAGCTCCTTTCTCACTCAAAAACTGGTGGTTTTGACAGGAATCTACAAGTTAACTCTTTATCAGCATAGAGATGGTTGGTACAGTCCAGTGAAAAATCAATGCTGATGTGGCTGAATTCAGTATCTCACAAGTCATTGGGAGGGGAATAACTGGGACACAAGGTTAATACATGTATACGTATATATAAAAATCTAAAAAATCAGCCTTTCAGATCATGTCTAGGTTACATTGATGTACTAATAATATAGACCAAGCACATTTTGACAGACATACCTCAGAATGATAATTACTAAATGAGTACATGTATTTTTCTTTTATTAGAGTAATTGTCTAAGGAGAATATATCTTAAGGTGGGGTTCTCCTTCGGAATGATTGAAATATATGTTAATTAGACTACTTTATTATGAAACTGTCATAACACAAACAAACAAAAAAAACGTGATTTTGTTATGAATCAAATGAAGCTGGTTTTTATCCCATATGGTCGAAAAACTATAAGTTCTATGTTTGAACTCAGTTATTCATGCAACATGTTTTAATTTATTAGTTGTCCATTTAATGTTTTATTGACACTTCACTCTGTTAATTGCATTGCTTGGTATATATGTTGTATTAAAAAATTGTCAATGTGTTTGCTAACAAATGTCATCTCCTCTCTGAATAAAATCCATTCATCATACAGTGAAAGGCTTTATATGTATTAAAAAACTGTTCAAAGCAACTGGCATATACAGCTTATGTGATGGTATTTTTAATACAAAGCAAAGAATAAAATGGAGTTCAACTTTTAGGGACGTGTTTGAAATGACTTCAGTTATGTATTCAAATATTTTTTTTTTGAAATGTAAGTACTGTTTTTAATACATATAAATAATTGACTTCCAAAAGTTAGATGTAAATACAATATGTTATTGCATTATAAGTTTTTTTATTGTATTATACTTAGATTGTTTATTATTAAATATAGGTGTGTCTGACACTGCACAAAAATAAAAGAGATATTTTAATAACTTCAATTCATAAAAAGGCCTTCAATTCATAAAAAGGTATATGGTCTCAGTTTTACCAAATATTCAGAAGTACAATTATATATAAGTTGAGACAATTTCAAAATATTTGTATAACAATAAAAATGATGAATCATATACATACATAAAAATGATGTTCTAAGTTCTTATTCATTATTCATTAAGTTTAAGTGGATCTTGTGAGAAAAATATAAATAGTTAAGTTTAGAACAATCCACTATATAAAAGGTTTAGTCATAATATTATAAAACTTTGTGAAAAATATCAGTTAATTTTACGATCAAATCCTATTTTAATCAAAGGTAGAAGTTTCTGGAATTTTTTAAATTCAGATTTTTCGTTATTTATATTATGGCTGAACCATATGCCAAGTAAAGCATATAGACGTCGCTACATGTTACTCTGATCTGTTTATATATTTTAAGTCCACCCAGGAAGTTACACAATCATGGCAATAACCAATTTTGAAAGAAAGCCATCAACTTGAATGCCCTTCTAATAATGTTATATTCTTGTGCAACGACTATAGATAATTCCTACTTGAATATGTTCACTACATGTGAAAATCCAGAGAAAGGGATAGCACATTGACCTGATACGGATTAAGAACTAAAGTTATAGATGCTATGAACATAATTGATCTTGTTACTTAGCAAATTCAAATACTTTGGCATAATGTTTCCAGTTTTTTGCCCTTGAAAGATGTGTTACTGGCTGTTATTCAATTTGCGTGTTTTGATAAACCATTGGAGTGATACCCATATTTATGTTGGTCATTCATCGCAAATGATGAGATGTTATGGCATGATGTCAAGCAGTATCACCAAAATAGTGTTTCAATTAACTGTATATATAGTAACTCCTGGGTTTCCTAGTGCAGTTTTATTTAACAAGTTATAACTTTTGATTGTTCAAGTCAATTTTCAACATATATGATTGTCTTGTACATATGATCTTCACTCCTCAATGTACCTCTCCGAGTGTAGGTTTCTGGGTAATATGTTTCAGAGGTACTCTGGTCATAAGTTACCTCCTTTGTATTATCAATTTGAATTAAGATATATATCTGTCATTTTTAAGCAGGATGGACAAGGAAACCGTATGTGTCTGCTAGTATCATGCCAATTGCCCAATATATTATATTCCATTTTCAGAGAATAATAGTAAATTGTTTATAGATTTGTATAATCTACGAATATATTTACTTGTTAAGGATTAACATTTTTAACCTAGAAATAATCCTATATTTAGGGGACCCATAGACCACCCTGTATTTTATATATAATCTATATAAATTACTGTATGCATTGACATGTTTTCTTTGTATATTTGCAGGACTATTGTGCAGCCTAGGACTATCTAGCTGTAGACAACACAACATTTTGATGAAATTCAGGAGAATTTGAGCCGTACATTATTAGGTAAAAGAATTATATTTTATAGTTTTGGAAACTTACTGAATACATGTACATGTATATTGTACCTCATAAAGATAAAAAAAAGCATATTCTTCACTGGGCATTCCCAGATATAGTATAGCTATTTCCAGAAGATATTCACAACTTTATTTTTTGTGTTCATGTAACGTTATTGGCCTGACTGTTATGTTAAGATAAGTGGTTCTTACTCTCATCTTACCAATTAGAGGGTTTCATGTAGTCAGGATACTAGGAGTGAACTCAGTGAAATGTTTTGTTTTAAAGCCTCTCCTCTAACTCCAGCTTGTAAAATACCATGTTTCAAAGCCTCATCTATAAATCCACTGTTAGTAAAATTTCATTTTTTAAAGTAAAATGTCATGTTTTAAGTAAAATGTCATGTTTTAAAGTAAAATGTCATGTTTTAAGTAAAATGTCATGTTTTAAAGTAAAATGTCATGTTTTAAAGTAAAATGTCATGTTTTAAAGATGCTCCTCAATATCTACCTAACGTATTTGATATGGTCTAAATTAGATTCTCACACTTAATTATGCGTTTTGCCATCTCTCACACTTGAGAAATTTCCCAAGAGGTGGTTCAAACTAGCTCCTTACACCTGGTAAATCTAAGAAGATGACACCCTGCTTTCCGCCAGAAACAATGTTGTCTGTTCCATAACAAATATAGTTTGTTGATAATATTTTCGCTATTAAACATAAGAGATAAAATACAATGAGCAGATGTATTTGAGAAAGTTAATCTGTTATGATGTAAGAAACAAGCACATATACTAAATATTATATGTGTTGGTTGGTTTAGACCAGCCTATGTGATACAGCACATTAGTTACATCCTATATATTCCATTGTCTCCTAAAGGAGAAGCCTCTCTGCTTTATGCCACCCCTTTGTCATTTACCCTGTCTCCCTTATCTCTTTTCTCATATGACTAACAAAGATACAGCCATCTTTATTCCATGCAAGATATTGCCATCTTTCATCCTAAAAAGACACGCGTCTTTGACTCTATAATTATCAAAGCTCATCAAGAATGGACGATCTTGCACAGGTTCTCAGTCAAGAACCAGAACCTCTATGTCTAGGGGGCTCCCCAAGAGGTATGTGACAAGGCCACCTCATTGCCCCCTCTTGGGGAGCCCTTCTAGGTATAACCCCCCCCTCCTGTTCATTATAATATTATATGTACTCTGTAATTATTACTGTTTGTAATCATGTTTGTCACTTTGACTGAGGGGCATAGTTCATTAGATGGCCAGATCTGTGGTAGTCTAGCTACCTTTAACATTTGACTTTATTACATACTAACATACACATATTTTCTATATATTTTTCTCATTATGCCATCATGCTATTATCTAATGGAACAGTAGATGATAATGATGATAGTCACCTAGCAGATGCTATTTGTGTAAACTGTAGGCTACTCTCACACTAAAAAAGTTTTACACAGTAGAAAGCATAGCTCCTTCAATTTGAAACTAGGCTGTATAGGAGAACAGCCTGATTGTGTGATTGTAGGAGAGACTGTATATAGATAACACATGTGGAGTTTGCTCCATACATCATGAACATATAGCTAAAATGTCTCTCTATTTGAACCAACTGTGACTGTTACTTCTGCAGTGTGCAATTAAATATGGATGGTTTCTGGATTTGTTATCAAGAATGCTGAATGAAATGCTGAGATTTCATTGAGTGAAACATTTGGATATATTTAGACCACACATTTAAGAATTTCACTTGCTGTTTATAAATTTCATTGCCTTGCTATTGAGATATTAGCAGTTTTTATAAGTAAGTATTTCAATTGAATTCTTTATATCTGCATATTTGGATTAAAGAAATCAAAACTTTCAGTATGTAATATAAAGTTTGTTAGTCATTTAAGACCACTACTGGTTTCATTTCTCAACTTTTAAAGTTTTGAATGTGATTATTCCTTTTATTTGTAAACAGTTAATAAAAGCAATAAAATAGGAATAATGGGTGTCATTTAATATGAATTGGATCAATATAAACAATTCGAAAAGTCCCATCATTTATAAACTGCATTCAAATGAATAGAGAGACAGTGATTTATGGTTGGGAATATATCTTTGTGAAATGCACTTAATGACCCCAAATCTAGGCTATATGAGTAAGGATTGAAATATGAAATCCTGTTTGAGGAAAGGCTATGTAGAAAGTTCTTGTTTGCCAATCGGTCACATTTCAGGCAAAACATATGTAGAATAAATGTTAACATACTAAAAAGATTAGCGAGTATTAAACGAGACTGGGATTTATTTATAATGTAATACATTCAGGTGACGGTAAAGCTTAATTCAACATTTCAATTCAGCTAGACCAACTTGGCTAACAGTTCACATTCCTTTACAGTAAGTTTGTGGTGAAAGAATTCAAACTGGCATATACTGTAAATGTAGTACATTTAGGAACAGATCAACAATTTATTATCTACATATCATATACAGATATCACATATTTTATCGGATATTTACAAAGATGTTCAGGATTGTAATCAGTTTAACGTCAACATCCTTCTACTGAGGTAGGTTATTTTTTCGAGTTGTTTACTTATTAATGTTAAATTAGCAAGTCTCGGTGATATTATTTTGATGCTTATTCACATATTTTTGTTTTCAAGTTGATAGAAAGCTGTCATCTCATGATGCTATAGTGAACATATATAAAGTGCTCACCATAAATAAATGACACTCGGATTTTCTATCACCATTTCCAGACCATGGTGATTTGAGACTCCATACTTTCCAATAATGTCTAGCTAGATACACATCCCTTAAGTTTTCTATATTTTACATTTTGTATACTCTCATCCACTGATGTATAGCCTTTTGAAAATTCTCTCCTTTTTAACATGGGACATCCTCACTTCAGCAAATCCAGGTGTCATTTATTTATGGTGAGCACTGTATATGCAGCATTTATCCCTTATGAAGAGACTCTGCAACAGTCAATGTTTATTATTATTAGTGATGATGTTTCATATAATATTGTAGTAATTTCTATATAATGATATTTAACATGATAATGAAATCTGTACAGGAAATCAATTACATTCATACATGCTTCCATTAACAGTAAAACTCCTAATGTAATATACATGCACGATGATACCTAATTTATTGGTCTCCCTAGAATTTGTCTCAACATTGTGCAAAGTATTAAACAGATTTTCAACAGGTTGACATGATATTTTTTGATTTTCATCCATTTAAACATAAGTTGAGACTAATGGCAGTTTTTATATCAGAAAATTGTTGAAAAACAAAAAGGTTTATACTTGTAGTTGATACCATACCTTTCTTCTTTTGCCACATTTCGGACAAATCAGCTTTTCTATCATCAAAATATCACAATATTAAGAATATAAAGAATTATTCCATAATAACATGTTTTCCCTGGGAAAATAACAGGGAATAAAAGTGTTATTTGAAAAATCCCGTATCAGATCCCGTATCAGCCAAAATCCCGTATCAGATCCCGTATTGGATCCCGTATCAGCAAAAATCCCGTATCAGATCCCGTATCAGAAATATTCCCGGTAATTTCTCTTGAGTTTTAAGCTTTTCGTCTAGCACATCTCTACAGGAAGTAAAAAAATCGTTTGGAAAATTGAAATTATTGAAATTATTATCATCTAGTTTACGTCTATTACTGTGACAAAGGTCTATTACTGTGACAAATATGTCTAATATTATGAAATAAATAGGTTATTGATGGTCGTGATGGAATATGGATTTATTCCTTGAGAAAATATGATATTGGCCTCAGAAAATATCATATTGACACTCGGGCTATCGCCCTCGGTCAATATGATATTTTCCTTGGCCAATATCATATTTTCCCTCGGAATAAAATCCATATTCCATCCCTCCCATTAAATAACCTCTATTTATCACGTGAGGCCACCAAATGGTGCCTTTTTTACTTGGCGGCATGGTTTTCTTGGGTTTATCCTTGTGGTTTTTGATCGCTAATACAAGGTGACAGTGACATGGAGTTTAAGGACAAACATTGGAAGAACACAAACTGAAAATCTGAAATCATATGATGAAAACAATATAAAGTTCAGGGTGTCAATTTGAATTTGTTAAAATAAAGACAGAATATTTTGGAATTTGATCATGTATTGCTTGCTGAAGTCAAGGGCTACTGAGAATACCAGTTGTCATCTAGATGCGACCCAATGCTACTCACTTCAACTCCCTGACCTCTATGACACTCACTTCAACTCCCTGTCCTCTATGACACTCACTTCAACTCCCTGTCCTCTATGACACTCACTTCAACTCCCTGTCCTCTATGACTGCACTTGCTCATCTCTCTCTCTTATTGCTTGTCTTTATCCCAAATTGAACCAAGTAGGAAGGTGCTAATTATATTTTCAAGTGAACAACTGATAACAAGTCTATTGGTACATTATCTATTATCTGTTATTAAATATTATTACATATATTCCTGAATTCACAGTAAGACCGATCAAATCCTAACTAAACACTACTGGGATCTCCCAGAAGTGTTCCAATTGTCAGATTTTTCTATAACAGCAGAAGTTGTGACAAATTATTGTCTCCAACTTTTTGTTGTGGATGGTGTTCAGCAGTTTGACATGGTCGACATTCGGAGTGCATCGTCTGTAACAATTTACAATTTGCATTGACATTTTGATGTTATTGTTTTGCTTGTCTTTATCCCAAAGTGAACCTATATAGAAAGGTATAAATGAAATTATCAAGTGAGCAACTGATAACCAGTCTATTGGTATGTTATCTATTTTCTGTTATTAAGTATTATTACATTTCTCACTTTTTATGTCACTGTTAGAAGTTGGGACATATTGTTATGGTCTCCAACTTTCTGTTTGGTGGTCGGCATTTGGCATCTGTAACTAATGGCAGGTGGTGACATATTGCATGTAATTGCCTTGCTGAACATAGTATTCTATGGCAAATTAGAAG